CCACACAAATTTCGCCCAAGGGTCCAGGCTGGCAGTAGCTGTTTTCAGTGTCTTGTAAAGCATAGACGTGTCAAGGTCCCCATTCCTTTTTAGCAGTGGGCTCTGCCGTCGATCTTTGGAGTCGCCTAGGTGTTGTTGCTCCAAGATATGTGATGCCTGAGAGAGTTGAAGCAAAGCTGCCGGCGATCGACGTTGTACTAGACTGCTCTGGAGGGCACCTTCACTAGCTTGCTTGACCGTCATCTCCTGTAGTTGATAATGCAGAGAACACGGTGGACAACGAACTAGCTTGCTTGACCGTCATCTCCTGTAGTTGATAATGCCGAGAACACGGTGGACAACGACGACATGAGACATATATCTATTAATCTACATGATGATCGACATAGTATATATATTCTAGAGCTTTCTACGTACTCTTAAGCGTGCGGCCACTGAGTCAAACCCTGAATCTCTTTCCCTCACCTCCCTTACTTTCTGTAACTTCTTGTAATCTTTCTACACTTTTTAATAAATTTCAGTAGGTGAGCCCCCCTCCTGTTTTACTCCAAAAAAAAAAAAACTCCCTGGGGTCCACGAAGATGGAGCGAGCAGGGGCCGACGTGGCCCAGTCCCAGGCGTTCGCGTGGCCGCCGCCGAGCCGCTTCACGAACCACAGGTCCTCGGTGCACGTACGACAGGCGACGCCAGTGCGGGATGCGCCTGCCGAGGCGGTACATACATGGTCTCCACCTGCACTGCCACGGCTGCCGCGCGCACGATCCACGCGAACACCGCCTCCCCCGGCCAGCGCGGCGTCGCGTCCCGTCCCAGCGAGGCCGTACACGAACCACCCCGCGAACGGGCGGAACAAGTCGGGCACGGACGGCACGCGCAGCCACTTGTCCACGCGGTCCAGCGCGTGGGTGGCGGCCGCGCCGCGCACCTCGAGGCGGACACACGCCGCAGTCCCACGCGCTCGCCACGGCCCAGGACGCCGGCGGGGACGCCAGGAAGCGGTCGACGTCACCGCCCCACTCGAAGCCTCCGCCGCCGCCGACGATAGCCAGGAACGTGCCGCGGGAGAGCGTGTTGTCCAGGACGTGGCCGATGTCCGCGGGGAAGAACTCGACGTGTGCGAACATGCTGCGGTAGGCATCGCGGGCGCCGAGGCGAACGTCCGAACGACCGTGGCGCGGCGCGGCGCCTTGAGCCGGTGCGAGTGCACTGGGTGCACGAGAAGGTCAGCGTCCAGAACTCGGTGTAGCCGCAGCGGCCGGTGAAGAGACGCAGCGACGCCTCGTTGGACTTGTCAGTGGCCATGTACGCGTACTCGGCGCTCATGAGCTCGAACCACTGCTCCAGCTGACGCACCAGCTGCAGCGCGATGCCCATCCGCCTGCATGCATGCACCAGTTTAGTTTCTTGACTTGATGTGACAACATATCAGCATGGATCATCAGTCAAATGGATGCAACAAAGTGGACAATTGTCGCTGGCGATCGTAGATGTCAGGAGTACCTATAGGGACAGTGGAACTTTACTTGTGGGAGCAGATCGGCTCGGACGTCTCAGCCACCTGTTCATGCAAGTCGGGATCAATGTTCATGCAAGTCGGGATCAAACTAGTTTGCGACTTGAAAAAGCAGCCTAAGCAGATCGCGTAACCGTGCATTGACGAGTACGTATACGGGAGGATCAGATCGAGGTCGGAGCACACGTACGTACGTGCCAGCATGAGGTAGTGCGGCGAGTAGCGGATGCGCGCGATGGGGTCGCCGAGCAGCTGGTCGGCGTGCAGCGACATCTCGCCGGCTGGGCCGACGTCGCACTCCCGGTCAACGGCCTCCGTCCCGTCGCGCGGTCGCGGTCGCGGTCCGTCTCGGGATTGTACTCCCGGATCGCCACCCCACGTCCCTCTTCGTCTCGTACTCCGTATACAATCCAACCGACTCCACTGTTTGTATGTACTCCTAGCGCAACTTGCACTCCCTGCTCAGTGATCACCACGAGTCCATCCATCGGCAACCGGGCACATGTAGCACTTACATGAGGGCCTTATCTATTTTTCCTAGCTGCTCAGTGATCACCACGAGTCCATCCATCAGCAACCGAGCACATGAAGCACTTACATGAGGGCTCCCATCTCAGAGATAACGGCCTTATCTGTTTTTCCTACTCTCCCATCTCAAAGATAGCTACTCTCCTAGAGATAACTAACCGATCCGATTACTTTCCCATCTCAGAGATAACTACTCTCCCTTCTCAGAGATAACTAACCGATCCAATTTGGCCTTATCTGTTTTTCCTACTCTCCCATCTTAGAGATAACTAACCGATCCAATTTCTGCTTGATTGTTTATCCGTCCTCTCTGATCCTCAAGAATTATTGGAACCTGCAAGAATTGCATCTCCTAACCCTACCGCTATCGGGGCCATGGTAGGGCGTCGCCCTCCTCCACTCGCCTGGAGCAAGGAGTGATGTCTATCCGACTAGTACAGAACATTAGTACTGACGGTTCTAAACCTACTGTTACTGGCGTCATGTGTCCACCACCAATGCTAAAGGCTAGTGAAAATCACGAACTTCATATGCGTCTTCTAGAAAACCGCCACTACAAATGATTTACACCGACTGTTTTCTTAAGAAAACCGTCACTACAAATGATTTTCAAAATTTGAAAATCGGGCTAAAAAATTTATCTAAGGAGGCTCGCGCACAAGGCAGCCACACACGGTTATGAATGTTTTCATCCATTTTCACAAGAAATCCATAACCCCCAGGAATCGAACTCAGCACCTCAAACCTCGCGCGTTACACCCTTTACCACTACACCCCAAAAGCCACTTGTAACTAACAGTAGAAATATACACTCAGTATTCACTACCGCAGATTTAAAAATTGAGATTTCAAGCCCTAAATGGATTCAAATGAAAAAAGTTTCAACTACAAACTTTTAGATCTCATTGAGATCTACAACTTTGCTTTTGATCGTTTTTTCCATCGGAGGCCATTTGAGAAATTCAAAAAATATAAATTTTAAAATCATTAATCTTAAAACATAATTTCTGTGTCCTAAATGATTTTAAATGAAAAGGTTGTCAACTAAAAAGTTGTAGATCTTTTTGAATCCTACAACTTTTGTTCAGACAATTTCTCCATCCGAGATCATTTGAAAAACTCAAAAAATTAATTTTAAATTATTTGTAGTGACGCTAGGTTATGAAAACCGCCACTATAAATACATTTTTGCTTGTTGTTTTCTTAAGGCTATCACAAGTAGAAATCATGTATTTTTACTTGCGGTAAACTTAAGAAAACAGCCAGTAAAAATAAATTTATATTGACGGTTCATGGTCTAGACCCATAGTTTTATTTCTAGTGACGCCAATACATTACGAACCACCACAGATAAAATGGCCACCACCAAGAGAAATCGTCGTTGTACTAGTGTCTTCTAATCCTCAAGAATTATTACTACCTGGAACCGGCAAGAATTGCATCTTACTAACCTTACCGCTATGGACGCCACGGTAGGGCGTCGCCCTCCTACACTCGCCATCTGCCAAGAACGACTCTACTGGCCATGAGCGCACAGATGGGAACACCGATTATGGTTGTGGCAGGCGGTGACAACCTGGCCCTCGTCTCGCGCTCCTCCATGGTGGAGCAAGAGGTAGGTAGGAGAGGATGGGGGCATGAAACCAAGATCCAAGCGCCGTTTTCTGACGGGATGGGGGCGCCCGGTCTCGTGTTTGGTTAGGGCAGCATGTATCCATTTATAGCGGCATCAGATACGGGCCTATACAACTTTGATACCGCTCTAGAACCAGCATTATCTTTTTTCTTCTCATTCACTCAATCGCCTGCGCGGCTCGGTGTCCACTACTGCCGTTTCTTCTCTGCTCATCCGCACCACTCGTGAACACGAGTCATAGCGATTCGTCGTAAAAAAAACGTGAGCCGCGAGGGGGAGTGACGTCCCCACCAGTTTTTCATTAAGAAGAACTTCTCACGTAGCTCGTGAAAACCCATGAACTCCGGCCCCACCCATATACAGTGGCACCGCATCCCCGTGAGATGGGACAATCACGGACATGTACTTTGGCGTGGGACATGAGGGGATTTTATTACCCTCTAGCCTAAAATTCATCCCTATATGGGGATCGAACTCAGGATCTGAGAGGTGCCGCCGGAACACTTAGCCAGTTCGGCTAGAGGACCTTTGGCTAGCGATTCGTCGTAGGCTCTGGTGTCCGCCGCAACGATTCGTCATGGCTCCGATGACATCCACCGCCACTTCTCCTCTACTTGTCCGGCATCCCTGCGCCGCCGCTCGTCAGTCCACGTCGGCATGTTGATGCTCCCTTCCTCTTTTGGTATCTGATTACATAAGCTAACCAAACAAATTCCGTTATTCCTTAAACTGCAACATATCACAGCGCTATCTGATTACATTGGACTTTGCCATGCATATTCATAATTCAGGCATCATCACTTTGAAGTGTGCTGTCATAATTATTCAGAACATGAGCTTTATGCAGAGACGCAACCGTACGTATCTATAAGATCTAGTACTCATTATCTATACCTCGAAAATTTCCGTGAACAATGCTTGAACACTTGTACACATGCACACCAACAACCAAAATTAAACCGAAGACCTCGTTAGTTACCAAATTAAAACCCTTGGGTTGGGTGCTGCAGCTTATAACGTCTCAAACATCACAGATAACTACTTTGAATAGTCTTATTTGAAGTTCACATCAGATTCAGACTATGCTTTCTACTGAATGAAAAGCAGAGCACCTGCCAGTTCTGTTCAAAAAAAGAAGTTCACATCAGACTTCGGAGCCACACGCACAGGCACATTTTTTACTGTACCAAGTTTGAAGGCGTGCAACGTAGACGGCCGTAGATCTGTCATCTCTGACGGTCAAAATGTTTTTATGCAGGCGCAGCGCATGATGACGCCCTGAACTAAGCTAGATGCATGAGGTAGAAAACCCATGCGCGAGTCCTAGTGGTGTGCGCCTCCATGGCCACCGCTCCCTTCTCTCGCGTGGTCCGGTGGCCGCGGCGTCCTCACCGCCACCGCCCACACGCGGGTGATCACCTCCTGCATGTAGAAACCCTGCGGCGGCGGCTGCATGCATATTCACTTGAGCTAGTCAATGAACATCGATCGGTTACGGATCGGCAAACGAACTGATCAGCGTGCAAATCAAGCGGCGATCGATCCACTTACGTTAGCCTTCGCCTTCTCGCCGGCGTCGCCGCCCGCCTCTTCTTCTTGGGACGACCTCGCCGCCGCCAAACATTTGCCCACCGCTGTAGCCGTGGCGGCTTCAGTTGCAGCAACGGCAGACGGCGGCGGCTTCTGGTCGCCGCAGCAGCCGAGCAGGCCCAGGCCGCCGGCGCAGGCGCGGAGCAGCGACCACGGGTGCGCGAAGGGTGGCGGCGCCGAGGCTTCTTCAGAGCCCACCACGTCGTCCTCGACCAGACCCGTCGATTCGTCGGCTTTATACCCGTCCTCCTTGCGCTGGTCCATGGATTCCTCGGACGTGTCCTCGCCCTCCGCCGCCGCAGTCTCTTCGCGCTGGTCCGCCGCCGAAGCCGATTCTTGGGAGTTGGTCTCCTCCTTTTCCCCGTGCTGATCCATCGCCTTTGTTGCTGTTGCGGTGTGGCCGCTCTAGACGCCGGGATCGGAGCTTCTGGACGTTGGGAGTTTTGTTGAGATTTATGTACGAATCGGTTCTCTACGAAATATTCTTAGGGATAGAGATAGTAGTACTTCAAACCTTTTTAAAGTTTTGTAAATAAAATAAACAAAATCTGCTAACAGTACATGCGGATCGATCAGACGATGCACGCAAAATCTTTACAGAACCGGAAGGCGGTATTTGTTTCTTATCTTAATCTCTATATCTCTATCTACTGAAAAGATCGAAAACCGGCAAAACTAAACACAAGCACTCTGAGGCTTTTTTCCCCCTCAACACGCGATTTTTCCCTGTTTTTTATCCATCCATCTCCACGCATGTTTTTTCTTCCGGTTTTATCCATCCATCTCCACTACTCGACATTATTAAGCACTCAAACTAACCGAAATCCAAGTGCTAACACGAAAGACACACCAAGTCATCAACACTTGGGTCAACAGGAATTGGGATTAATAAAATTCTTTTTGGTGTTCTTAACATGCCTAAGTTGACCCTAGCCGACTCTTATCAGGACGTTCTCGACGTCCGGAAGTTTCGGTGTACCTTGACAGTCATAATGGCTAGTTCGTGATTTTAAAGTATTTATTTATACCCCCCCCCCCCCCCCACCCCTCATTTGAAGGGTTGGATGCAAAGAAAAAGCCTCTCTAGCTCTTCCCATTCTTTTTTTTTGTGAGAATTCAAGGTCAGATGTTATGAGTTGGGTTAAGAGTGTAAGCAATTTGGGAGTTTATGAGCACAATAGCAATCTAAATACTTGAGCACTTATGGGCTTCGTCAAGCAAGAAGCATTTGTTACTCTTGGAGGTGAAACAACTGATGCCTAGCATCGCCTCGGTGAAGTCCCGTGCTTGTGGTGTGGTTGAAAGAGACTAAGGTAAAATCCTTGGGTCGCTTGGAGCTTCTTCAATGGAGACGTAGGTCCTTCTTAGAAGGAGACGAACTCCGGAAAGCAAATCCGTGTGTCTAGTGACCGGATCTAGGATGAAAGTTCAGGGGAAACTGAAAGTTCATTTTCAATATTCAGCCTCTCCTCTTCAAAACAACAATGGCAAAAATTCTTGGAGAGGCTCTAGGGGGCTCTATGGGACTAGCGGTAGGGGGGGGGCTTGCCCCCCTTCTCCCGCCCCACCGCTAGATCCGTCCTTACTTGTGTCTCCACTTTGGTTTGGTTACTTTTGAGTTCTCGCTTTTAATCTGTGTTTCCTGCTTGATCTATTTAGTTGTGCGTATTTGTGAGTGTATGTGGTTCGTGAACTTGCTTGTGTATATCTCTAAGCTTGTTTGAGCTCTAACTTTGGAGGTGCCTGTTTCATTTCAAAGGCTTGCTAACCTCGAGAACTTCCTAAGGTTTCTTGATAACAAATTTGAGGAATATCATAAGCCTAAACTATTCCGCTGATTTAAATCGTAACAGAAATTTTTAGATGCGCTAATTCAAACCCCCCTCCTCTCATATCGACCCTTTCACTTTTCAGTTGGGCAATTTTCTAGTTATTAGAGCATCTCCAAGAGATTCTCTATATCCTTTCTAAATGCTAGGAATAGAGATTTTGGTGTAAAATTAACCTCCAACAGCTTCTCTGAATGATTATCCAAATATAGCCATTTTCTATTCTAATTTTTCGCTAGCCAAAAAATAGAAGGTGAGAATGGCTTTCCAGAGTGCACATGAGATATAGAAGAACTGTTGGAGAATGAAAAGATATAGAAAACGATTTTTATATAAATGACTCTTCAAATGATGATTTAGAGAGTGAGATTTAGAAAAGTCACCATAATGCCTACCCAAAGCCTCAATAGTTATCCAAACAATTTATATTTTTTGCATATTAAATCGGATAAAGATGAACTTTATATCAAAATAGTAGAGCTCAATAAGATCTACAACTTTGCAGTTGATAAGTTTTTGTAAAAAAATATTTAAATTACCAAAAATTATTTTTAAATTCTTAAATTTTGAAATTCAAAACTTAGAATTTCCGAACGACTTCGGACATTGACATGGTCCATACAAAATTGCAGTTGTCGATGCAAGCCCTGTTCGCTTGGAGAAATTTGGAGGAATCTGGAGAAATTTGTGAAAGGAAAACACTATTCCGATGAAAAAAAAAAGCGGATCGAGCCGAGGTTAAAGGGCACGCAAATGGGGCCACATGTTTGGAACACGATATTTTTTTTATTCCAACGTTTTTCCTACGAAATCAAACTAATTCCTGCATTATTCCATTGAATTTTCTGTGTTCCAAACATGCTTTAAATTTTTTTTATCTGAAATTATATTTTTTCAGATTTTTTTAATTTTATTTTTTCAGATTTTTAACTTTACATCGAAGGGCCAAGGGCGTTCTCTAGCAAATTTACCCCTTATTGTAGACAAGACTGGCCTGGCACATGGCAATGCACCAGCTACCGTCAGATCCGGATCTCGGCCCCCACCGCCGTGATGACCACAAGCCATGGAGTGGTGTCGAGGAGCAGAAGCGAATAACTGAAGTACTAACTACTAACCCAGACCAGCAAATGTTTCCTGATAAAACTGAACAGCTTCCTTGCTCAGAATCATGAGTTTCAAACAATCCAAGCAATATTAAATGCAGACTTCTAGTGTACTGATGGTATGCACTGTAAATCCGTAATTCCATGATCCTCATCTACATACTATCAAATACAGTATAACAACTTTAGCTCAGATGTCTAGCTACAGTTGCATTGAGCCCATGATTGTATTAGTATTTTACAGCACTATTTGCTCCAATAAATGCATATAAATATACAGTCTTTCTTCTGTGGGGAATTGGGATACATAGCTGTTATTCACGATACGCTGCCATGGCTCTAATTCACGACACAGTTGACGATCTCAGTGAGTCGGGGGTCTGTAAGCGAAAGGATCAAAAAACTTGGAAACAGAGTGAAGAGGATATATATAGATAAAGGGGTAGGAAAATTGTTTCCTGGCCTCAGTTTTGTATCTTCTCCACCTTGGCCTTGATCTTCTGCTCGATGATCGCCTTCTCCGTGTCAAGGCTGAACATCCGGTTGAGGGCGTGCATGTTCTCGAGCGTCTCGTCGAGGGTGCGGCTGTCACTGCCGTCGCACCTCAGGTGCTGCAGCGGGCCATGGAGTAGCTTGTTAACGATGCCGGTGCTCAGCTCCTCGATGGCTCTCCTCATCTTCTTGGTGAGGGTGTCTTCACCAGCCTTCTGCAAGCACTTCTCGAGCTCTGAGGCCCTGATCCTGTCAGCATATGACCTCAGCTTCTTGATGGTGGGGACAGTCTCCAACGAGTCCCTCCATGCCTCGAATCGTTTCAGTTCTTCGGTGATGATTGTCTGCGCCTCCATTGCTTTCCTGAGCCGGTCCTCCTTGTTGGCTTCCACCACCTCTTTCAAGTCATCGACATTGTATACTCGTGCAGCGCCAACTTCAGACACACATGCGCTGACATTTCTGGGGACAGATATGTCGACAAACAGGCGAACACCTCCCATAGTATCAGAAACAGCGGGGAGTGCCTCTGCATGTTCTTTTGTGAACAATGGAGTTTCAGATGCGGTGCTTGTGAACACGACATCAGCTTCAGCAGCAGCTTCATACATCTCTGAGAGAGGTCTGTACACAATTTCGATATCTTTCATCTCCCCATGAATGGCATCCACCCTTTCAACTGAGCGGTTAACCACAACAACCTTCTTGCATCCTTTGGCAATGAGATGTTTGATCACTAATTTTCCCATTTTCCCGGCACCAATCAAAAGCATCCTGGCTGACAGGGCTTCAGACTTTGGAAGCTTCATCAGGGCCAATTCAACTGCCGCTGAACTGACAGAAACAGCACCGGATGATATGTTGGTCTCGCAGCGGACACGCTTTCCAGCAGTGATTGCATCCTTGAACATCCTATCAATGTTCTTTCCCAAGCCTCCACTGTTTTGTCCGCTCCTCACAACTTGTTTAACTTGAGCAAGGATTTGTCCTTCACCGAGAACCAAAGAGTCAAGGCCAGCTGACACCTCAAACAGATGGCGTGTAGCATCACTGCTTCGCAAAATGAACAGGTGCTCCCTAAGCTCGGAAGCAGGAATACCACTTTTCTGCAAAATCACAAAAATAAACACATTAGGGAATCTTTCCTAAACTGTGTCTTTGAGCAACCAAAAAGCTGGGGAAAAATACTACTACAGACTGAACAACGAGGGTTGATCAAACAGCACTCACCTTTGACATCCAGTCCACTACTTCTCTGATACCTCGGTTCCATGATAGGGCCACCACATAAATTTCCATTCTATTACAGGTACTAAGAACAGCAGCCTCTTCAATATGGTTCAGACTAGTGAGTTCTTGAATAGCACGGGGCCACAGTTCCTCTGCAACAGCAAGTTTTTCACGCATCTCCACTGGTGCAGTGTGTACACTGAGGCCTATCACAGCTACGGTACTCCTTTCCTTCATGTACCCTGGTAGCGAATATAATAGTTAAAACATTGTCAAACGCTGCACAGAGACTATTTGTTTCTGAAAGAAAGAAACTGGATATAATGCACGTCAATATAAGCTTCCTCAATTTAGTTGCTATTGCTATGAAGTTCAATTGGAGAAGTTTATTAAAGAAAATTCTAAGGGGCAATAATAGCATGTTTACACTAGATGACTATGACTGGAACAAGAAAATCCCAAACAAAACCAATGCAAAATGTTTGGCCAATAGCTGATGCCAAAAGCGTATGAACAATCTGCAGTACACGAATATAATTATTTGGCATCTTTGTCAAATTAGATTCCTCCTTCCTAAAAGGACTACACAGTTCTGTATGCATACACTAGCATTTGGCTTCTTACAAAATGTTATTTTGGTGGATATAGATAAAGATAACCGTTTAATTTTACACAAACAGACATTTGCATACAAACAAAAGCTCCACAAGTCTCTGAA